GGTCTGAAGATCAGAGCTGTCAGGCAGGGCAGGCGGAAAGAAAAGCTGCTCCCATGGACCCGGTGCCGGCGTGGGGCCAGGAAAGCTACACATCTCTGCAGAGCAAAGGGTACTCTCTGTCACATCAAAAACAGGCTGAGAACATAACCCTGGAGGTGCTGCGTGCCAGGTGAGTGGAAAACTCTCCTGTCCTCACGCACATGCTGTTACGGGAAGTTGCGCCGTGATAGGAAGTTATCCCCTACTAAGAGCGGGTTTAGGGTTGACCCAAAAGACTCAGGCAAAGATACTGTTCTGCTAACACCCTTACGCTGTTGGATGTTTATGTTATGTTGTGCTTACAAACTGAGTCAGCCAGAGCTTTTCTTTCTGATGCCAGTCCAGACTGACCGGCCGGAGCCTTGTAGGGCTGGCTGTTCAGTAGAGGCAGGCAGTTATCATCTACCCAGACAAACGCCATTGGGAATTTTTGACTTTCCATTTTCAGGATTTCTGATTTAGGTCTCTCAATTCTTGGGGCCTCTCTGAATCCAGCTCGTTGTTTTTTAATCTCCATATACGTTGGAGGCTCAATCTCCCTTTATTTCTTGAGTTTGCTGCCCTTCATGGGAACTGTTTTCTTTGTCACCCGTTGACTCGACAAACAAGGTCGAACAGCATGGGACCAGAGCAGATCTGCCTCACAGCTTTCTGTAGACTCATTGTCTCATGATTTAGAACGAAACCTGCTTTATTTATTTGTTTCTGCCTCTTGCACCCAGCCTGGGCCCTTGGAGGCATGCTCTGCTTTGCACTTGCTGACTTTTTCCTTTGTTTGGTTCCTTCTCAGGAATGAGAGTTCTTACTCTGCCTCTCCTGGAAGGCCAGAGGGCCTGAGCACCCAGCGAGATCTCTTCGAGGAGAGAGGGGAGGAGTACTTGAATGCTTTCGACAAGAAGGCCCAAGCAGACTTTGACAGCTGCCTGTCCTCTCAGAGGATAGGCCAAGACCTCTTGTTTCAGCATCAGGAGAATGTGCAGGAAACATGTCCTTCCAGCAACCGCCATGCAAGCTTAAGGTGTTCACCCTTGGAGCCTGACTTTATCCAAGCAGAGAAGAAGCCTGAATATAATGGCTGGGACATCAGCCACCATCAGAAACCCTCAGAGACTGCAGCAGAGGTCGCTGAAGAAGCGCCCAGGGACGAGCAGTCATTCAGCGCTGACCCGTGGAAGAAAGAAGGAGCTAACACCAAACAACCTGCTGAAGAGACGACAGAGTGGGCTCCTGAGAACCGGAACGCCAGTGGTCAGCATCAGGAACAAATGGGGAGGACGCGGCGATCGGGCCCGATTAAAAAACCAGTCCTGAAAGCCCTCAAGGTGGAGGAGAAGGAGAAGGAGATGGAGAAGGCTAGGCTGGAGGGAGACGATACCTCACGCCCACCAAAGGAAAAGGTGCCTGTTCATAAAGTGGAAAATGAGTCAGATGATTCTGCAGCCTTACTGAACTCCACACGTTATCTGCCAGATGACAAAGGTTCTTCCCAAGCCAGCCTTGCCCGAGAGGCTGAGAAATCCCAAGAGGAGGAGGAGGAGGAGGAGGAAGAGAGACAGGAAAGAACCTGGGAGAACAAGCTATCCAGAGAGTCAAATGATCTTCCTCCCACAAAAAGAAACAACTGGATCTTCATTGATGAGGAGCAAGCCTTTGGTGGGAGAGGTCAAGGGCGTGGGCGAGGGAGAGGCTTCAGAGAGTTCACTTTCAGGGGCCGCGGCACTGTTGTGGGCAGTAGGGGAGTCTATAACAACCAGCGGAGCAGCCGCGGGCGAGGGCTTCGGGAGTTCACCCAGCCGGAGGACTTCCCTAGAGGCAAGCCCAGGCGCCGAATAGCAAGCGAGACACACAGCGAAGGGTCGGAATACGAGGAGCTCCCCAAGCGTCGCCGGCAGAGGGGCTCAGAAAACAGCAATGAAGGCTCTGGGCTGGACAGGGAGGAGAGTGATCTGAAAAAAGGAGACTTCAAAGAGTCTTGGAGGTCCAACAAAATCTATTCAGATGATCACACTAGCCTTGACCCTAAGATGAGGGCCCCAAGAGCTTTTGGGAGATCACTGCCGCCAAGACTGAGCAACTCTGGCTATGGGCGAAGGGGTTTCATGGGTAAGGAGCCCACCCAGTGGCAAGGCAGGAGTGGGGGAGCTGGGTGGCAGGAGTACAGCCACACCTCTCCATCGGACACCTTTGGGAGCAGGCAGCAGTCTGACAGGGACTACATCCAGGATTCTTACAAACACTCAGATTCCTTCTCGAGCCGAGTTTTTGAGGAGAGTCATCTGGATGACAAAAGGCACTTTTTCCAGGAGGATTACTCAGCAGATCAGGAGAACATAGAGAACAGACCGTTCAGGAGGCGACGTCCTCCCCGCCAGGACAAGCCCCCCCGATTCAGGCGCCTCAGGCAAGAGAGGGAATCCGTCGGCCAGTGGAACCCCGAGGAAGGAGGCCCCAACCTGCTGCCCAGCCAGTGGTCTGGAAGACCCAAACTGACCACCGCAGAGAAGAGCAGCGTTTCAGGCAGACGGTCTCCTGAGCTGTCCTACCAGAACTCGTCAGACCATGCCAATGAGGAGTGGGAGACGGCATCTGAGAGCAGTGATTTCAGCGAGCGGCGGGAGAGGCGAGATGGAGTTTCAGAGAGCGAAGGCCAGCTGGAGGGTGGCCTTGGGAGTGGCAGCTTGGGAGAGAAGAGGGAGCTAGCAAAGAGAAGCTTTTCAAGCCAAAGGCCGCTTGTGGACAGGCAGAGCCGCAAGGCTGAGCCAGCAGGGTTTGTGGAGCAGTCTGTCAGGACTGGTGTGGGAGCAGCTTCCCGATACGAGAGCCAGCAGAACGGGACGCTGATGAAAAGCAAAAGGTAAAGCTGCATTCTGATGTACAAATGTCTGGTCCGATAGGCAGAGATTGGGGGCTGCGTTGTGGTGAGAGCTATTGGCTGTGTTTCTTCCCGTCTAGCTCAGGTGATTTCCAGCACCGTTTACTAAGCTTGTGGGCTGCAAGGGTTTCATCAGTGTCTGTTGTACAGCTGATACCTTTGCTTCTGTGCTGGGACTCCTGAGACACTGTCAGAAAAGCACTGAGCCTTCCCTGTGGGGAGAAGCTATGTGGTGGGGGCAGGATGTTGTTTGACTTAGGTCTACAGGTATTGTTCTGTTCCCATTCCACTTCCCCAGAAACATCCTTGTAATGGGCTGTGTGCTCAGAATTAATGTCTGCTTCAGCTGAGCAGAGGCTGGGGTAGGATGAGGTGCGATTAGAAACCTGGCAAGGAGAATATAATCCATTTGTTTTTCCTTTTACTACTACTTCTCATCTCCTAGCGACAAATCTAATTCCTTTCTCTTCTTCCCTCGCAGATCTCCAGAAGAAGGAGGGGGCCTTGGCAACACCAGCGGTGGGAGCAGCCACTCCATTTACAGTCTAGACAGGGCCTCCCATGCTAACGCGGAGACTGCTGAGGGGCCAGGTAAAAAGCTAGAGAAGGAGCCCAAATCCACTGCACAGAGAGCAAGTGAAAAGGGAGAAGCCTTGTCACAGTTTGAACTGAATTATGGAAGTGAGTGTCTCATTTCATTTGTTTCCTTAAAGGGATAACATGTTGTGGCTGACCTTGACAGGCTGGTGGCTAGTTCAATCCAGTGTAACTTTAAATATCAAATTAGATTATTTTCTATTTACTTATACAAACAAGAGAATTCTGTTGCAGCTAACTAGGGAAAATGCCATGGAAGGCAAAGACAATTTAAGATTTAAAACCCAAGCTTTGAGCCAGATCTGACAAAGCAATCTCTCTAACACTTCTTCTGCAGAAAATTTGGTGTTGGGAAGAAAGGAGGTTCTTCCATGTTTCTGTCTACGATGTTAAGTCTCAGGTCCAAAATATCTTAGGTACTGGGGAAAAAAGCTGAAAGAGCTTCCAAAATGGGGAATTGTAATCTGAGTTGATGGCTGGGAGGCAAGAAAAAGTAAGAAAGAAAGAATACCTCTGAAAACATCTCCTCTTTAGCAGCAGGCCCTAACTGTGTGTTTTGCCGTTTGTAAAACTGAGGTTTTGCATCCGAAGGTGATGGGTGTGTTTTCCAAAGTGCCTGTGTCTGTTTTGTCCTTGCTGATGTTTGGAAAGGTTTTGAGTTTTGTTTCCACCGATAACACACCTGAAGTTACCTGAGTTACCACATGGTTTATGTTCCCAAGCTCTCCCAGCTAGCACATGCTCTCAAGGGAGAGCAAAGCCCTGGAGGCTCTGAAAGCTTAGCTGCAGTACTGCTAGCTAAACTTGTTTCTGTAGCATGGATCCTATTTGGAATACACTCTTTAAAATGATACAGCTATAAAGCCTTATATGCATGCACACATGCACTTTTTACCCATATACGCTTTGTTCAGGTGCCATCATTGATAATCGGGTTTCGAGCACAGCAGAGGAGAATGAAGTGGGCTCTATGGCAGGTGAAGGCTTCATTGAGGTTCTTACTAAAAAGCAGCGTCGTTTGCTGGAAGAGGAGCGAAGGAAGAAAGAACAAGCTGCTCAGGTGAGTGGGAGGCATAAAAGGCTTAAGCAGTTTGAGCTGCAGTCAGGGAGAGGGACAGGCCCCCTGAAGTGCTTGGATGAGCAGAAAAACACGCGGTTGGCCAAAGTAGGGCTGATCCTGTATTAGGTCCGGGAAGTGTGTTGTGGCTCTGATAGGCAGGGGCCGTTGATCTGATAAGGAGGGTTAGTAGACTTCTGTCTGGTGTGCTTGTTTTCTAGTGGAAGCATTAATTGTGAGTTTGGGGAAGGCTTTCTGAAGTAGTGTCTCATCCAAAGCAATTTGGTACGCTAAGGCTGTTGCTGGCTGGCTGTGGTTGATGGTGAGGTACGGGCCAGCAGTGAGCAGTGGAGCATCTGTCTGTTCTCTTGCTCTGTCGGCGAGATGTTCCTGCTAGAGCAGGAGATGGTAGCTTCCTTGTAGGACCTCGCCACGTTTGTGTCCGAGCACTTCACCAGAAAGAAACTAATAAGCTGGAGGAAGCTCTGACAATGTCTTGTTCGTAATGGGATAAAGGAGTTGATTTACAAGAAAACATTTAAGACCGCTTTGTGCATAGCTCGGTTAAATGATGTTTAGGAGGGGATGGAGATAATTGTCTTCAAGTTCTAGAAGACTAAATTCTAGAGCTGTAAGATAATGTTTTAGCATAAAAGGAGATGTAATGAGACATGGGGGACTAAACACAAGTGGAAAGCATCACTGGGAAATGCTTCCTGACAGGGAAGGCTTGTGGTGGTCAAGTGAGTCACCTAAGCAAAGTTCTAAAAGCCTGGCTGCTTGGTATCTTTAGGATTACACTGATGACAACTTGTGAACAAGGACTGCGAAGTCTTGCAATTGCAGAAAGATGTGATTCTCTTTCTCTTCGTATCTTGGCTCTGTGAAATAGCCGTCTCTCTATATTGTGTAATTCTGAATTAATCTTACTTTACCTGGAGTAGAAGACAGAAATTAAGCAGAAGCAAGTCTGATGTAGTGTTAATTTTGCTTTGCTTCATTTTCTGTCTCCTCCCCACCCCTGGTCTCCTGCTGCTGAAGCCAACTTTTTTCATGTTCTTATTAGATTGGAGGAACTTCACAATAGCCACAAGGCCCATTTGAAAGGGGAGGGGGGAGAGGGCATCAGATTTCATTTCCTCTGTTCCTGTAACTTGAGTTGGGGGCTTTCTCATGGCAGCATTAGAAACCCGGGGATCAAACTTGCCAGGAGCAGATGATGCTAACCCAGTTCAGCTGCAGGTCTTATGGCTTGTACCTTTTCTCTCTCAGACGCCGGCTAAGGCCCGTGTCCTTCAGTCTCGCATTCCTCCTCGATTTGCTAAGAAGCAGAACAGCATGTGCTTGGAGCAAAATGATGTAACAGTGTCTGGAAGCAGCCTGGGTACAGAGATCTGGGAGAGCAATAGCCCAGGTAGGTCTGTGTCTGTCTGCTCTGGAGTGTTTTACACAGGTGGGGAATCCTCTGGTGCATGCAGGAAGAATGAAGTGTCTGTGCTTAAGGGGAGAGATTTTCTAATGCTGGAAATGGGAAGGGAGCTAGCAGACATCTGGGATTGTGCCTGTTGGGAACAGTACTGTTCAGTCCTCTTCCTCCTCGTTTTGACTGTGTAACTTTCCTAATCTATTTCCTGGGGTTTTTTTATAAGATCAAGATCCTAAATGGCATCTTCCAGGCCCATTGCTAGGTCTGCTTTAGCTGTTTTCTTATTTTTGCTTTCCTCTGTTTTCTCATCCTCTAGCACAGAATAGTTACTGCCTCCCTTATTTCTCTCTCTGCTCTTTCTTTCTCTTGTTGTCTTCATGTTCTCTAAGAAATCTCTCTTCCTTGCTCTCTACCCTCCCTTTCCTCACTCTGTCTTCTCTGTGCTGCATCATTTCTCAGCTGATGGGGGAGCACTAGCTTTCTGAGGTGGTGAAAATATCCTATCTCATGTCCTTAAATAGAGAATGGATCGTGTAATATGCATGGTGTACAAGGTGTGCTCGCAGTTCTGATTCAAGCATCTGAACCCTGCCTTCCTTTCTCTTCCAGCCCTCTCCGTTCAGTCCCCTGGCAATGATTCTTGGAGCAAGCCTGTAAATGCCTTTAATGGTACTGAATCTAGTTCCTCTGAGGTAAGTGGCACCTAATCTGTCATTCAGGTATTTTGTGTATCAAAGTATTAACGTAGGTGGCTCATGCTTCTCATTGCTCCAACTGTGCTTAGCAGCTCTGTCAGCTCTGCTCGTGCAATTTTAAGCTGGCTCTCTCTGCAGTTCTGATTTCAGCTTCAGGCTGCTCTAAACTAGAGGGCCAAATGCTGCTTGCTTTTACGTGTGAGTATAAATCTGCAATAACTATCTTGCAGAGCTGGTCCAGGATTATGTTCCTAACTGGGAGCAGAGTATAGTCCAGGATGTAGGAATCTTGTGAAATCATGTAGGTCATCACTGCCTCATGCCTGCGAACAGTGTGTAGCTGTAGCCTTGACATGGGGAGGGGGGGCAGAGGTCCCTGAATGTTTCACCTCTGGAGGCTGAAGTTCATCTGGTTTGGGTCACAGGTGAAACGAGTTTGGCAGCCTTAGCTTAGTTGCCATGTGGGGCACTTTGGCTGTATTCTAAAGCCACGGTGGGGCTGGCCCAAAGGTTAGATTGTCTCAGAGTTGCGCAGACCTGATGCTGCAGGTCAGGCCCAGCTCCTTTGCAGTTGACTGAGTGTGTTAAAAAGGGGAGAGGGTCTTTTTTTTTTTTTTTTTTTTTCCTTCTTTGTGTAGCTGGGTTGGAGTCTGGGGCTTTAACACATTTCGTGCTTTGCATAGCAGGGTTTTAAAGGCAGCCAGGGGGATAGTGGCATTGACTTGAGCGCGGAGTCTCGGGAATCCTCCGCTACCTCCTCTCAGCGCAGTTCTCCATATGGCACCCTCAAACCAGAGGAGATGAATGGGGCTGGCCTGGTGGACCCAAAGCCCGACTGCCAGAAGGAGCAAGTTCAGAAGCAATCTGATAAAAAGGTAATCTGGATTTGCAGCCAAGCCAGAGCACGTAGCGAGAGATCTTGTGAAGTGGTTTTGTTGTTCTTGATAGCATTTTAAAGGCTAGAGATTGGGTTATTCAGTCTTTGTGTCTCAGCCTCTCTGCTTTCCTGTTAAGGATTCGGATCAAGGCTCAGGACAGAGCAAGGAACACAAGCCTGGACCAATCGGCAACGAACGCTCCCTGAAAAACAGAAAGGGTTCGGAGGGAACGGAACGACTGGAAGGGAATATTCCCCCTGTTAATGGGGTGGAAATTCACGTGGATTCTGTGCTTCCTGTGCCACCCATTGAATTTGGAGTGAATCCGAAAGTGAGGATTGAATTTAATTTTATCTTCTTGGTGACTTGAGCTTGTTGAGACGTGAAAGGTAGTTTGAGGCAGGATTATTTAGGGGAAGCTTCTGGGATGTGCACTGTCGACTTGCCTTATAGATTTCATTACTGACACAAACCAGCTACTCGAGGTGTCTTGGCACATACATATTATCGTCTTGGAAATATTATCTGAAGGACCAGTTGGGGTGGCAACAGGGACTGAGGGACAAAATTACAGCCTTGCAAGCCTGTGTGTGGCCCTGGGGGTTGCCTGCTGCTGAGTGCTGAGGAGTATCATCTTCTCTTCCAGCAAGGCTTATCAGAGTACAATCTTTAGTTTCTAGTGTCGTGATTCAGGCTAGAGCCATTAACCATGAGGAGGTGATCGGTGGCCCTCAGGCCTGGATATGAATGGCATGTGTTGTGCTTTTTCACAGGACTCTGACTTCAGTTTGCCACCTGGTTCTGCCTCTGGCACTGCAGCTAACCCTGTTACCAAACTGCAGGATGCCTTGGCCAGTAATGTAAGTGGTTTTTTTTGGGGGGGG